AGTTGAGAATCCTTCCGAGACTAGGTGTGTTTTAAAACTTTAAAAACTCCTGTGTGAATTCAAAGACTGTAAATAAGGGCTTGAGAGATGGCACATCCACTGGGGGCATCTACTGCCCTTGCAGAGGACCTGAGTTTTGTTCTAAACGTCTACATTGGGCGGTTGACAACATCCTGTAACTCCAGCTCCAGGAGATCTGACACCCTCTTCTGGCCTCTGAAGGCACCTGTACTCACATGCATACACACACACACACACACACACACACACACACACTTTAAATAAATCCTTTAAAAGACAGTATAAACACAAGAGACACCCCTCCTAATAGGAAGACCAAACAGATTTCCCACTCAGGGGGACTTACTGGGGGGTCTTTGAGAGGACAGCGGCTTGCTGAGGCAGGAAGGCAGGAGGAGAGTCAGGTATCCCTGAGGAAGCCTATGGCTTTGGAAGGGGACTTACTGGGGGGTCTTTGAGAGGACAGTGGCTTGCTGAGGCAGGAAGGCAGGAGGAGAGTCAGGTATCCCTGAGGAAGCCTATGGCTTTGGAAAACAACCTCTGTTGAAACATAAAGTACCCTGTATTCATTTTTAATGTGGTGGCAGGTCTTCCTAATTCTAGTATTCTGTGCCCTGAGTTCAGAAGCATTATCTCCTAGCAGGGACTTGACCAGCAAGAAGTGGGCTTTCCCAGCGATTACTCCACAGCCTTTTCCAGCTGTGCCCTGTCTCAGAGCTGAATAATGAGACAAACTTCAGGTCTAAAGAGAAAGGAATTATGGGTGCAGAAGTCCTAGAATTAGGTTTGAAGATAATGTCACTCATTCAGCGTGATCCATATAATCCTGTCACATACACCAAGCACCAGATTAGGTACTGAAGATTCAGCAATGGATGAGGTAGGCAAGGTACCTGCCCTCATGAATCCTCTGGGAGACACATCCCTTCCCTTCATGAGGTTTCTCATGGAGGCTGCACAGGTTAAGTGGGTGAATATTTTCCTCATCAGAGTTGACACTCAAGTTGTTGAAGACAGATTTGTATTCTGAATAAGAATTAATTAAATTAAATTAAATTCATAAAACATGAAGGATATTAAACAGTGATGAATACTCGCACACACACACACACATGCACGTGTGTGTGTGTGTGTGTGTGTGTGTGTGTGTGAGAGAGAGAGAGAGAGAGAGAGAGAGCACAAGGAAATAAACACATAAAACAGATTAAAACAAGACACAGGAAGGAGAACAATAAAGACAGAGACAGGAAGAGAACGCTCAGTTCAGAGAAGGGGAGATGGCATGGGCAGGGTGGTGGCGAGTATGTCCAGGGAGAGGGAACAGCAATGACAAGGTCCCTGAGGTAGGAAGACACCAACCATGTTAAGAACATCAAAGAAGCATAGGGGTCTGAGGCAGAGGACATGGTGAAAGGTGAGTTTGGAAGGATGCTGATTGCCTAGGGACACTTGGAATTTATTATAATTCCATTATGGACTTAGATGGGTCTTGACAATGTGCTGTTCTGGGTTTTAAGACCATAGCTGCTATGTGGAGAATGGGCTTGACATGCGTGGTAGGGGGTTGAGTGAGCATGGAAAGCGGAGACCAGCTTGCATGCTATGCAGCCTGTGCTGGTGAGAGAGAACGGAGGTTGGATGGAAGGGGCTGAGAGGAGCCAAGTGGGTGGATTCTCTGCTCTCTATTCTGGAGCTAACATGAAGGGACTTGCCAGTGTGGCAGGTGGGGATGTGGGTGGGAGGCAGGGAGTGTGGGCAGGAGTTGGGGGCCACTCCCAGCTTTTGACCTGAGCAACTGGTTGGTTTCTGATGGACCACAGAGCTTCAACCGAAATAAATGGGAGATAGCGTAGATGGAGGGATTAGAGGAGGTCCACTGCCATCAAGGATGCCTGGTGTTAGCAGGCACCAGTGGGTATGGATGCTGACTTAGAAACATCTACAGATGGGGCTGGAGAGATGGCTCAGTGATTAAGAGCACGTGCTGCTCTTCCAGAGGACCGGAGTTGGGTTCCTGGCACTGACCTCAAGCGCCTTACAACCACCTATAACTCCAGTTCCAGGAAATCTAATGCCCTCTTTTGGACTCCATAGATTCTTCCTTTGCCAGAGGGAGCCTGGGTAACTAGAGTCACATGAGTTCTAAAGCCAGAGAGGGACATTGAGTCAGGAGGGCTGGTATTCAAATCTGTCTCCTCACCTGTAAAATATGTGTCAGTATGTGTAAGGAAGAAGCCTACCCCTGAAAAAAAAAGGGGGGGGGGGAGAATCACATCTGTGATCCCGGCAATGGGACGGGGAAGCAGGAAGCCAGAGTCCAAGCTGTGCAGAGAGTTCAAACCCAGTCTTGGGACCCTGTCACCAACAAACAAGCAGGAACCTTGGGAAGCTGGGGGTGTCAAGATGTGTCCTTCAGAGACCGCCTAGCCCAGCACTGTGCAACATGAGGTCAGAAGCCCAGAGAGAGAGGTCCTACCAGCTTTTGAGGTCCATAGTCTTCCCATGGCCACAGACTGCCTCCCCTGACACCCTTTTCCAAAGCCCAGCTGAGCCACAGGAAGTCCTACTTCAGGAAGGACTCCACCTCTGAAGGACACTTCCAGTGGGTGCTGTGGATGGCTTAACCATAGCTGTTCTTCCACCCCCAAGAGACCTGACCCTCCCAAGGCAGGTCTCGCCACCAAGATCTGTCTTCAGTTCTTCCTCTCCCCTAGCCTCTGACCACCTTTAGCTCTCCTGCCTCAGCATCCGTGCCTCAGCATCCATGCCTCAGCATCCGTGCCTCAGCATCTGTGCCTCAACATCCATCCTGCAGGTGCCTTCTTGGCCTCCTTGTTCTAGCCACTTACCAAAACAGTGCCCCATGCAGTAACATGGGCACCAATTCCCAGTCATTTCCCGTACTTTCCACCTCACCTGACTTTGTGTGGCCCTGAAGATGAGGTCTTTCAGAAAAGAAAGAAAGAAAGGAAGGAAGGAAGGAAGGAAGGAAGGAAGGAAGGAAGGAAGGAAGGAAGAAAGAAAGAAAGAAAGAAAGAAAGAAAGAAAGAAAGAAAGAAAGAAAGAAAGAAAGAAAGAAAGAAAGAAAAAGAAAAACCAAGCCACTAGACAGGCATAGCCTCCACTTCCTGCCGCCTGACCCGCAACCCACACATAACCTCACCCTTCCCTCTTCCTCTCTGGACAATAGAAGAGGCGTACTTCCTCTTGTCTGGGACTAAGCTCACCACTTAGCCAGCTGTACCATCCACTTGAATATTTCCCAACTACAGCGGGGAAGAGCCTTCATCTAGGTTCGGATCACCATGTGGCTACACAGCTTTGTGCAACCCTGGACAAGGGCGCTGACTTCATCGTGACTTCCTTGTCTAGTACAACAAAAGGTCAGAGCCACACTGGGATGTTTCAGTTCTCACGCAGGAAGGGAAGGAGCCAGTGAGTTAATTTGCTCAACATGGCGTGAAATCCTATTGGTCACATAAGCAGATGTGCTGATGAAGTCCGCAGTTGCCCCAAGGGACAGAAGAAAGATTCAGTACAGTTGTGGGTTTTGCACACTGCCTCCTTCTCTCCTCAGATAGGTAAACATGCCATTTCCTCTCAATCAGCCTCAGTTTCCCAATCTGTAATCCCAACATGAGGTAATGTCTACAGACTTTCCGGGACATACACACCCTTTGATTTCCAGACATACTGACTGGCCTCTCTGGTCTCACATCTGCCAGACCCTTCTACCCCAGAGCTTCCATTTAAAAAGGATTTGCTTTTATTATGTGTAGATAGGTGTTTCTGTTTGTGTATGTGCACATGAGTAAAGTGCCCTAAAAGGCCAGAAGGGGGTGTTGGAGCTGGAGCTGTGAGCAACCTGAAGTGGGTACTGGGAATCAAACTTCAGTCCTCTGCAAGAGAAGTACTCACTCTTAACTCTGAGCCATCTCTCCAGCCCCTGCTTCTTTCCATATAGTCTCTTAATATATGACACATAATTGTAATTATACACTGCATTTATTTTTGTTACCTTTCAGAATCCAAGATAGGGATTTTTTTCTAATTGGCCAATTTTGTTCATTGCTATGCCCCTGGTACCTGGAATCATGCTGGATAGATACACAGTAGGTGCTTAAGTTAAGGTGTTAGTTGAAAGCATTGAGGCAGAGCAAAGGTAGGTAGGTTGGAGAATAGAAAGAGCTGGAAGGAAGATGCTAGTCTGCATAAAGAATGGAGCTAGAGGGCTGAGGATATGGCTCAGTGGGTAGCGTGCTTGTCTAGCATGCGCCCATCTAGCATGCGCCCGTCTAGCATGCGCCCGTCTAGCATGCGCCCGTCTAGCAGGCGTGAAGCCCTGGGTTCCATCCCCAGCACCAGATAAACCAGGCATGGTGGCATATGCCTGAAATCCCAGAATTCAGGAGGTGGAGGCCAAAAGATCAGAATGTTCAAGGTCATCCTCTGCTGCCTAGCAAATTTGAGGCCAGCCTGGGCCACGTGACACCCTATCTCAAGATGAAGATAAGAAGACCATAGCTGGGGAAGCTGGGCACCGTGGAGCACATCTGTAGCTCCAGCACTTGCACAGCTGAAGCAGGAAGACAAACCCATCTTTAAAAAGCAGGGCAGAGCCGGGGAGGTGGCGCAGTGGATGAAGGCACTTGCTGCCAAAGCTGACGACCTGAGTTCCATCTCCAGATCCCCACATGGTGGAAGAAGAGAACTAAATCCTACAAGTTGTCCTCTGAGTTCCACACATGCACACACACACACACACACACACACACACACACACAAATAAACATACTTTTTAAAAGAGTAAGTTGGAGAGTAAACAAGGAAGACACCCAACATCACAGCTTACACATCAGCTTACAACCTCTAGCTTACACACATACGTACATCACTCACACAGGAAGGAAGGGACAGAGGGAAGGAGGAGGGAGGGAGGGAGGGAGGGAGAGAGAGAAGCAAAGCCCGTGGACACACAGTCCCACTGACATGTCCTGAAAAGCAGCGAGAGGAAAAGGCACAGGGCAGTACTGCTCTCTCTGTCCTCCAGGGCAGGAGTTGTTCCTTCCTCTTCTCCCCTCACAGCTTCCCTCAACTCTTCCCCACCCCACACACCTTTCAAACCCTTTATTCCCAAAGATGTCTCTTGGTTGTCCTTGTCCTCCAAGGCCACTACCCCATTTAACAGTGTTTCAGAGCTGGGCTGGAGAGACGGCTCAGCAGTTAAGAACACTTGCTGCTCTTGCAGAAGACCCAGGTTCAGTTCCTGGGACCTACATAGTGGCACCACAACTATCTGAAATTCCAGTTCCTGGGATCCAACGCCCTCTTCTGACCTCTGTGGTCACCAGGAACACGTGTGGTATGTACACACACATGCAGGTAAAACGCTCGGGTGGTGGTGAGGAGATGGTTCCGTGCTGATGGCTGGCCGCTCAGGCATGAGCATCTGAGTTCAGACTTCCAATATCCACATGAAAACCCCAGGTTTGGCCGCATGCAAGCCCGTAACCCCAAAGATTTGGTGGTGAAGACAAGAGGCCCTCGGGGACTTGATGGCCACGAGCCTAGCACCAGGCTCAGTGAGAAGCCCTCCCTGAAAGGAATAGAAAGAGAGCAGTAGAGGACACCAGACATCCTCCTCCGGCCTCCCCCTGCACACAGCCATGTGCACCCACATGTGTACACACTCCACACATGAACCACACCGACTGTACAACAGATGACTAAACAACGCGTCTCAGCTCCCAGGACACTTCTCTCTTCCTCATCATCCTCCTGGCTCCCTCACTGCTCCTTCTGAGCGCCCAGGTTGCTCCCCCTTGCCCTCTAAGCTGTGGGCTTCCATGGGTCTCCATGATGCCCCTTCTTCCTGTTGGACTGACTGCGTGTGCTCTGGTATCCTTGACACAACACTGGTTCTAGCCAGACACCTTCCCAGAGTCCTTTGTGAACATGCTGAAGTGCCCTATGCTTCTGTCTAAGAACCCCACTGCAGTGCAGCATCTGATCCCCTGCAGCATCGACCCCTTGTCTGTCTTTCTTCTCTCTTTCAGCCTCTGTGCACACCATCCTCCTGTTGACAATCTCCACTACGCTTCCTCACATCACTCACCATCCTGGGAAATTCTTCTTTGTCTGCAGAACCCTGGAACTTGCCTGGGGCTCTAAAAGGATTGAGTTTCTTGTTGACCTGCCCCACCAGACAGTGAGCTTGGAACTTGTTCATTAATGCATTCATTAATGCATTCATTCATTCATTCATTCATTCATTCATCACAAATTGTTAAGTAACCATGCTGTGGAAATCAAAATGATGCTGAGCAAGCTGAGTGAGAACCTTGGGAGTTCAGAGTCTGGTGGGAAGAGGAAGAGGACGCTTCTGTGACGAGGCTCTGATGGGTTGGCGGGTCATGGAGGCTTTTCTCCTTCATGGCTTTGTCTCCAGCCTTTTGCCAGCATCCTTTTCCTCTTCTTTCTCCTCTTCTTCCTAGTCTCCCTCCTCCTCTTCTTCTTCTGGCATGAAACTGTATCACCCAGGGTGGCCTCAAACTCCTGCCTTAGCCTCTTAAGTGCTGGGATTACAGGTGTGAGTCACCATACCCACCACTCAGGGCATTCTTCTGGTGAAAAGGAATCCTATTGTGTTTTAAACTTTTCACGGAGATGACTACACACTCAGCCTTAGTTTCACAGGCAGGAAGGAGAAACCCATGTGCTGGTCCCCCAGTTCCCCCAACAGTAACATCTGCCTACCTAGATCCCAGTACAAGGCCTGGAGACAGACTTGCTAAGCTTACTTACAGCTCCTTCAAGGGCATCCATCTGAATGTGTGTACACGTGTATGTGGGTTTCTCCCACATTTTCCCTTGTGTAGAATCCAGCATGAATTGTCACAGTGGGGCTGCCCCCCTGTGCCTATGATCTTGTATCATCAGAGATTCTTTCTCTCAGCATGAGTGTGTCTCCACACTCATCTCGTTGCTGGGCCTTCAGATCAACTAGTAAATGAAGCCCCCGGTTAGTGGAAATAGTTCAGAGAAAGCCAGGCATGCAGATTTCCACAGGTGTGTAGATGGGCCCAGGACAAGCACCATCCCAGAGAGACAGGCTTCTCCAGGAAGAAAGTCACTGGGAAGCAAGGTGGGGTGAGGAGAGAGATGAGGTGGGGTGAGGAGAAAGATGAGGTAGGGTGAGGAGAGAGATGAGGTGGGGTGAGGAGAGAGACTGTAGGCTGTGAGTCACCGCGTGGTCTAGGCATGGGACTGCCAAGGCCCAGGGAAAAATTATAATCATTAGGTACTTTAAGAGGCTGGGGGGAGGGACCAAGAGGGGCAGATTGCAATGAGACCCCCCAGCTCCAAGGCCCACTACAGTCTCACCTCAACTCACCTTCCATCTCTCCTGCCTTCTCTGGGTCTGTGCCCCTCTCTCTCTGAGTTACACACACACACACACACACACACACACACACACACACACACACACTGAGCCCCTGTCTCTGGGTCTGTTTCCTTCCCTTTCTGGGTCTCTGTTTCTTTTCTATCTATCTATCTATCTATCTATCTATCTATCTATCTATCTATCTATCTATCCATCCATCTATCTATTCATCCACCCATCCATCTACCCATCCATCCATCTTCCTCTCTGCCCTTCCCAGTATCATCTTTGGAACCCCCACCCAGGTTTTACCCATCCACTGCACCCTCTTTGGCTGGGCTGGCCACCTCTCCCACCCTCCTTGCCCAGGATCAGTCCTCCCCCCATTCTTTCCAGATTATAGCATCTTTCACTGGGCGGGCTCCCATTAATAACTGTGTCTGCTTCTCTGGCCAGAGATGGGAGGGAAGGGAGCAAAGAATCTTGGAATGGAAACTAGGTAATAAAAAAAAAAAAAGTCAGAAGGGCGGTGGGGGGCAGGGCCAGCTGCCCAGACCAGGGATAAAAGGCTTTGCTGGCGTGTCCAGGAAGAGACACCACCCTGCTTCTTTTACACTTGCAAGGAGCCAGAGTGACTGGAGCCGGGTAGGCATCTTTTCTTCACAGCTGGAGGAGCCTGTGACCCCCATCCTTTCCAACTCTGGCCTCTACCACTCAGCTCTGTCCCCATGTCACGGAGGTTCTGGGCCTCAGTGTGAGCGGTACTCACTGCCCCAAGTCTGTTTCTGGTTTTCTCTTCCACTTGCTCTCTGCGTTTGTTAGACCTGGACCTTCAGCTCCAGAATGTTCCTTCTACTGACCTTACTCCAAGCCTTGGCTCTAGGTAAGAGCAACGGGGTCCCCTGGAGACTCTGGGATGAGCTAGGGATGGGTTCTGGGGTGTAAATCCGCTCTTGGAGACAGCCTGGTTAGAAAGGGTCCAGAGGGGCTGGAAGATGGCTCAGCCTTGTAAACCAATGGCCTGAGTTTCATCCCCATAGAACTCACTCTTTTAAAAAATGTAGTGGACTATTGTAATTCCAACACTGGGGAGACAGAAGACAGGAGCCCCCTGGGGCCTGCTGGCCAGCCAGCCTAGCCTAACCAGCAAGTTCTAGGCCACTGAGAGACCCTGTCTCAAAAGAAACAAAAAAAGATGGATGGTGCCTGATAGATGACACCTGAGGTCCATCTTTGGGTTCTACATACACAGAGAGCAGAGAGTAGTGTAGCTGAGGACCTCACTTAACTAGAAGTTCATGCCCTCTTTCTAAGTTTGGAGATACCAGGGAATAGGGTTGGAGAGGAAGGCAGCCCCAGGAAGTGGAGGAAACCAGGAATTAGAGAAGGTTCTGACACCTCAAGAGGCTTCCATCTGAAGAGGCCCATGGGGCTGTCTGTGGTCATGTCTGGGAAGATGAAAGTGGACAGTGAAAGGGTGGAGGGAGTCTGGGGAAGAGTAAGGTCCCAGAGACGGTACTGAGTGGGAAGGTTTGGAAGGACACAGGAACTCATGTGTTGAGGAAGGACTGAGTGGGGTACTCTGTGGGGAGCACTGAGAGCTCAGCAGTTAAAGTACTTGCCACTCAACCATGAGTAGAGTTCAGATTCCCAGAACCCACATAGTAGCGTCTGTTTGTGACGGGCATCCTTGAATTCCAGCTTTGGAAGGCAGAGATGGGATCCCCAAAGGAAGCTGGCTAGTGAGACCACCCCAAAGAATGAGTTTTGGATTGGACTGAGAGACTCTGCCTCAATGGATAAGATGGAAAAATGATCAAGGAAAATTCCCAACATACCTTCAGGCCTCAATACATACATGTGCATACATAAATACATGTGCATACATAAATACACATGCATCCATGCATACATGTGCCTATATACATGCAAATACACACACATATGCATACTATATGAAAATGGAAAAACAAAAATATTCATTGGAACCATGGACCACTATAGCAAGGCCCTGGATGAGTTGGACAGGAATACAATAGCAGAAACCATGGGGGTCAGTTGAGGGAGGGTCAGAGAAGTCCCCGTTTGTGTTGGGGGTAATGATGCATGCATTTCACACTTGGTGGAGCAGAAAGAGATGGATGGTTTAGGTGTTGGACCACAAGGAAGTGTCTCTGTCTGCTGGGCATGGTACAGAGTTGGGGATTAGAGGACATTTGTCCATCTTCTCTCCCCATCTGCCCCTAGCCATGGTCCAGAGTCAAGGAGATCATAAAATTGTTGGTGGCTACACATGTATCCAGAACTCCCAGCCGTGGCAAGTGGCCCTGCAAGCGGGTCCTGGGCGTAGATTCCTGTGTGGAGGGGTTCTACTGTCGGACGAGTGGGTCATCACTGCTGCCCATTGTGCCCGCCCGTGAGTGATCTCTCTTGTTCTTGTGTCAATAACTTATAGAATTCCAGGGTCCCAGAGTATAGCTGTGAACCCAGATCCATGTACGGAACATAACACAGAAGCTAGGCTGTGATTTGGAGTCTAGAAAAGAATCGCGACTGGGAGGCATAGTTCAGAGTGTGGAGCCCTGCCATCAAGGACCTAGCTTCACTCACGGGCCTATTTAGAACTCAAAACCCAGAAACCTGCATGGCCACAGGAACTGAGGGAAGAACTCCAAGGTGCACTTGAGTATAGCACACAAGAAGAAGAAATGTCAAATGAGGTTGGGCAAAGAGAGAATGCCCAGGCCACGAGAAGGGAAGGCCACAAGGTGCTCAGCCCACAGTTAGAGGGACACAGGTTAGACTCTGAATGAAATTCATCACCGCAGAAGAAAATGGGGCTGGAGCATGCTCCGTGGTCAGACTTTAACCAGCACTTACTCTTGGGGTTTGTGGGACAGGATTCTTCACGTGGCCCTGGGCAAGCACAACCTACGGAGGTGGGAAGCGACTCAGCAGGTAGTGCGTGTGGTTCGTCAGGTACCCCATCCCCAGTACCAACCCCGGGCCCATAACAATGACCTGATGCTGCTGCAGCTGCAGAAGAAGGTGCGGATGGGGCGAGCAGTGAGGGCCATTGCTGTGGCCACGTCCTGTGCCAGCCCAGGGACTCCCTGCCGGGTGTCAGGCTGGGGGACCACAGCCAGCCCCGTTGGTAAGGAGCCCTCACCCTGGAGATACAAAGCTGGGTCCGAGGGAGGAGGCTGACCCTGGATCCCCGGGTTTGTAGTTCTCTAATTGTGACCCTTCCGTGCCCCACCGCAGCCAGGTACCCCAATGCTCTACAGTGTGTGAATGTCAACATTATGTCAGAGGAGGTGTGCCGTCGGGCCTACCCGGGAACCATCACATCCGGCATGGTCTGTGCCGGGGTTCCCCAAGGCGGAAAGGACTCCTGTCAGGTGAGGCCCAGTATCTCAATAACAGAAGAGTCAGAGGATGTGGTTGGAAGGGACTTCAGGGGTACAGACATGCAGGAATCACCCAGCTTCCTTGCCTTGTGGTCACATATTCCTTTGGATTTAACTCTATTATGCCTCAGTTTCCTGTTTTGTCTAATAAACTACTTAGGTCTGTGGAAGCAGCATAAAGTGATGTGTGTACATAGGGGAGTTTGGGGGAACTTCTAGAAATCCAAAGCTAACAGTGAAAGAGGCAAAGACAGGGGGTGGGAAGAGACACAGAGTCATCTGGAGATACGGTGGGGGGTGGGGGGTGGGCATAGATCCCTGGAGGGAGCCTGGAATGGGGGCAGTGCAGACAGAAGCAACTACCCTGGTCTGAGGGCTGGAGTCAGAGGTGAGGAGGGCTGTTGTCTGTTTGCTTCCTGTGGCTGATTCTATTCCCATTCCCCCTCCTCACAGGGTGATTCTGGGGGACCCCTGGTGTGTGGAGGACAGCTCCAGGGCCTTGTGTCCTGGGGAATGGAGCGTTGTGCCATGCCTGGCTTCCCGGGGGTCTACGCAAACCTGTGCAATTACCAAAACTGGATCCAGAGAACAATGCAGGGCAACTGATTATCCATCACCATCCTGTCATTACCAGCTGTCCCTGTGCTTTCACTGCCTCCTCCATCAGACACTGAAGTCCTCCTCAGCCTTCCTCCCACACACTTAAGACTCTAGTCTCCAGCCTCCTCTCTCAGACCCAGGACCCCAGGCCCAGCCTCCTTCCTCAGACCCAGGGATCCAGGCCCAGCCTCCTCCCTCAGACCCAGGGATCCAGGCCCAGCCTCCTCCCTCAGACCCAGGAGTCCAGGCCCAGTCTCCTTCCCTCAGACCCAGAAGTCCAGGCCCAGCCTCCTTCCTCAGACCCAGGACCCCAGGCCCAGCCTCCTCCCTCAGACCCAGGACCCCAGGCCCAGCCTCCTCCTCAGACTCAGGACTCCAGGCCTAGCTTCTTTCCTCAGAGTCAGGGATCCAGACCCAGCCTCCTCCCTCAGACCCAGTACCCTAGGCCCAGCCTCCTCCTCAGAATCAGGAGTCCAGGCCCAGCCCTCCTCCCTCAGACTCAGGACCCCAGGACCAGTCCTCCTCCCTCAGACCCAGAAGTTCAGGCCCAGCCTCCTCCCTCAGACCCAGGACCCCAGGTCTAGCCTCTTTCCTCAGAGCCAGGGATCCAGGCCCAGCCTCCTCCCTCAGACCCAGTATCCTTGCCCTTACTCCAGGCTCCCCCTTCCTTCCCAGGGTCTTGGCTCTGGAGTCTCTCATAGCTGGTGGTCACAGTTTGAGACTCACTGGGTCCAGAAGCTGGAGTACAAATGCTCTGGACCAGCAACCTCATCCAAAGAAGGATGCTTCAAAAACTCTTACTATCTCTAAAACCAAATAAATAAAAACAAAAATGGAACAATCCCAACTTTCCTCTATGCTTTCCATTAGTCCATTCCCACGAACACTGTGTGCTGTGAGAGGGGGCTGCCTCCGGCACTGAACTCGTCCTGGAGCCTGCCCGTCACTGTCCATCCACCTGTGCTTGGGTTCCCCATCTCTGAGCTGCCTCGTTTCCTGGCTACTGCACACACAGAGAGTAGTCAGGGTAGGGGAGGACATCTGAGGTCAAGTTCCAGCAAAGCCTGTCTCATTCTGCCTGTTCATCTCTAGCCTTCATCCCTGGCTCCAATCCCCCACAGAGGCAGGACACAAGTGACCTTGAATTCCAGGGTCCAGGCCCAGCCCCCCTCCCTCAGACCCAGGGATCCAGGTCCCACCCTCCTCCCTCAGACCCAGGGGTCCAGGCCCAACCTCCTCCCTTAGACCCAGGGGTCCAGGCCCAGCCCTCCTCCCTTAGACCCAGGGTCCAGGTCCCACCCTCCTCCCTCAGACCCAGGGTCCAGGTCCCACCCTCCTCCCTCAGACCCAGGGTCCAGGTCCCACCCTCCTCCCTCAGACATGGAACCATGAGCATGATACAGAGATAGCAGATTTTGCCAGCTTCAGGCAAGCCATCCCTAACTTCCCAAGACTGTTATGTCATTGGGAAGCTCCTCTTTCTTTCAAGCAGTAGTTATTGAACACCTGCTATCATAGTCATTTGTCTATTTTGGATACCTACTGTGCAGCAGTCCTCAACCTAGTTGCTGGAGAAGGTACGGTCAAGATTCTATCCCCAAACCCTGCTTGCACAACCTACATTCTGGCCGTGGGCAGCCCACAGGAAATAGTAAACATCAAAAGAGTCAAGTGGCGTCGCTGGGAATTAAAATGGCCGTTCAGTTAGGCTGAGCGGCGGTGCCCACTCATACTTATGGAAACAACTGGAGAAGATTCAGACATTTAAGAGTTGCTTGATAAACACAACCATTGTTGAAATTCAAGTGACATAAATTCATAATGAAATAATTTGGAAAATAAAATCAAAGGGCTGGAGAGCTGGCTCGGCAGTTCAGAGCACGGGCTGCTCTTGCAGAGGACCTGGGTCCGTTCCCAGCACCCACCTGGTGGCTCACAGCTGTCTGTAACTCCAGCTCAGGAGGTCTGGTGCTGCCTTCTAGTTGCTGCAGGGACTGCATGCACGTGGTGCACAAACACACATACACAACACACACAAACCTAAGAGTAAACACACTTTAATAGATCAATCCATACAACAGCATTCCTACACTTCAAGCTGTCGTTTGAGGCCATTTGTGTATATTGTGTCCTGTCTGTCCGTTTTCTGTTTGCTGTGACAGAATGGGTGGCAAAAGCCACTCAGGGATTAGTTTGCTTTATCTCACAGTTTAGGGGATGGGGACCATCGTGGTGAGGAAGGCATGGAGGGAGAAGTGCTGCCTGGAGGGAGGGAGGGAGGGAGGGAGGGAGGGAGGGAGGGAGGGAGGGAGGGAGGGAGGGAGGAGGAAACCAAGGACAGACCAACAACAATTACACCACAGTGCAGCTTGCTAGCCCAGTGAATGTTTGGAGGTTCCTACATGAGCAGGGACAACATGAAGGCAGTGGCATCATGGCGAAGCTCCCTGGAGCACAGCTGGGGACTCACCGAACACTGAAGCCCTGGCGCTCTGCCTGTGGCTTCCAGGCAGTTGGGCAAGTGGGAAAATTCCCCCTCCAGCCCTTGTTGCTGTTTTTATAACCTTTAAGATGGCCCTTGTGAATCTTGGAAACTTTAGCTTTCTCAGACACGTGACATTTGTTTACTTTTAGAGTTTCATGAGTACCCTGAACCTCCTTCCTGGAAAGAATGTACATGCAATTTAAAAATATTAATTTCATTTTAGACAGGATCTAGTATGTATTCCTGCCTGGGCTAGAACTGGCTATGTAGACCAGGCTGGCCTTGAACTCACAGAGATCTGCCAGCCTCTGCCTCCTGAGTGCTGGGATTAAATAGGTGTGCCACCACATCTGACTGGCTTATTTTTAATTATGTGTATGTATATGGGGTCAGGGTGCATGAATTCATGCAGATGCCCACAGACACCATAGGTGTTGAGTTCCTAGAGCTGGAGTTACATACAGGCAGTTGCAAGCAGCCCTGTGTGGGTGCTGAGAACCAAGCTTGGGTCCTTAGCAAGAGCAACGTGAGCTCTTAACCACCGAGTCATCTCTTCAGCCTCCATGGAGGGTGACCCCTTATCACCTCAATGCATCACTATTAAACCCTAAAGCTTCCTTTCTTGTTTGTCCCCAAGAGCTCATATTAATACCACTAAAACAATCTAAAACATTCCAACTTATAAAAGCTCTAGTCTTTAAAAATTCAACCACTTTAAAAGTTCAGTCTTTTTGAAATATTCAGTTTCTCTCTCTTCTACTAAAACTCTAAAACTGTGGCCTTCTGTTTTGAAAAAAAAAAAAAAAAAAAAGTGAAATCCTTTCTTACTCCAGGAGGGAAGAGCCAGGGCACAGTCACAGTCAACTCAGGTCAAAACCAAAGTCCAACTGTGTCCAGCTCAGTGCTGTTAGGTCTCAAACTTGGGACAAATGGCTGAGGTGCCTATTTAACACATCAAGTGGAAGCTGGCCACCAGGTTCTCCCAGCATCCCTCAGTCCCTACCTGTTACAGCCCTCCTGGCTGGCATACCCCACCCCCTACCCTGAACTCTCCAGTGCAGGGGGCTGGGCTGCTCTTCCCTGTATAATCCAGCCATTTTAGTTACCTGTTCTCTTTGTACCTTTGGGCATCCTGGCTGCTGCACCTGGTTCCTCTCTTTCCTCTCCTCCTCACATGGCCCAGCTCAGTCTGATCATGTCCACTCTGGACTCTCCCAGATGTCTCTGCCTCTGATTATACTCTCCCTTTTATCTACAATAAACCTTCTCCTCCACCATACCTAGAAGCAGTCCTGTTTCCTTTCTTTTTTTTTTTTTTTTTAATTCAAGTGTCAGTCATCTGGGACTCACTTCTGGACTCCAAGGGGCTTGAACAGCTCTACCTCTCTGGCTCTGCCATCCACAGCCTCAAAGCTTGTATCCTAGCCTCAGAGCAGCTCCACTCCACACCTGCTGGTGTCCTTGGTGATCGTCCCACGGTATTGGCATCTCCAAAATGCTCAGGTCTCTACTGCCACTGGCTCCCCTTCACCAACAGCCTCCTCTGGGCTCTCTTCAGTGACTCTGATCCTGCCACATGGTGCCAAACCTCAGCTTCTCCAGGACCCCTCAAATACTGGAGTTTCTACTGAAAACCAGAGTTGCACTTCACCAGCGTCCTCTTTTCAGGGACTCCAGTCTTGCCACACAGTGCAAAGCCTTATCTGCTCTCTATGACCCCTTCATGCGTTCAAGACCAGTACCACCTGGGAAACTCCCCACATTACCAAGTTTAGATACAGCCTTGACCCTCTCTCTGAACCACAGCCTCTGTGTGCTGACCCTGAAGAAACACTTCCCAGAAGACTTCACCTCAGTGATGCTGCTCTCTTCTTAGTCACAGCTCCAACTGGCCAGCACTCATGGTCCCAGCCAAGAAAATATTTGACTTTAGTGTTTCTGGTCTCTTGTTAATGACAGCTTCACCCACCTGACCAGAACCACAGAGTCTCAATATCAAACAGTCCCAACAGAGTCTTTAAAGGACTCTCAAACTTCCCTCAGAAGTTTCACAAGCCAGGCCTCCGGTGTGCACTGCTCTCAGATTATCTTCTAAGTCCCTACAGTAGCTCATTAAGCTTTGAATACTAAGTTCCAAGGTCCTTCCACAGTCCTTCCCAGAACATGGTCTCATGTCACAGCAGCACCCACTAGTACCAGCTTTTGCCCTTGTCAGGGTTCCTATTGTTCTGATAAGGATCACGACAAAAAGCAACATGGAAAGGAAAGGGTTTATTTGACTTACACTTTCACATCACAGTTCATCACCAAAGGAAGTCAGGACAGGAGCTCAAGGCAGAAACTGAAGCAGAAGTCGTGGAGGAGTGCTGCTTACAAGCTTGCTCCCCTTGGCTTGCTCACTTGTCTTTCTTATACACCCTAGGACCACTGCCCATAGGCTGGGCTCTCCCACAGCAATCAAGAAAACACACTACAGGCTTGCCTACAGGCAATCAGATGGAGGTGTTTTCTCAGTTAAGTTCCTCTTCCCAGATTACTCTAACTTATGTCAAAAGCCAAGCAGGACAGAGGGAATGTTTTAATTCAAAACTTCCTGGCCCTTAAGGAGCCTTCTTCCAGGGTGGGATGTTTCAACCCAGGAGCATGCACATGCACGTGTGTGTGTGTGTGTGTGTGTGTGTGTGTGTGTGTGTGTGTGTGTTTAGGTCGGAGGTCAACCCCAGGTGTCATTCATCAAGAGCTGTTCACCTTGTTATCTGAGACAGTCTTTCACTGCTCAGGAGCCTGTTGATCAAGGAAGGCTGGCTAGAAAGCAAGTCCCAGATTGGGATTGCAAGTGCATGCCACCACGCCTGCTTTTTTTTTTTTAATGTAAGTTCTGGGGATCAAAATCAGGTCATACCAACTGAACTATAATATCACCAGCTCTCCTAGGAATTTCTTCTTTTTTTCTTTAATTTTTTTTCATTTCAAAAATGTTATATGCATGACTATTCTGCCTGCATACATGCATGTGAACCATGTGCATGCCTGGTGCCTGTAGAGGCCAAAAGAGGGCATCAGATCCCCTAGAACTCAAGTTACAGATGATTGTGAGCCAGTGTATGGATGCTGGGAATTTAACCTGTGTCCCCTGGAAGAGCAGCCAGTACTTTTAACCACTTAGCCATCTCTCCAGACCCTCTAGGTATATCTTAATTCAAACAACTTGACAATCAAAATTAATCATCACAATGAACTACATATCTCATCCCAACTGCATATCCAGTGAGTTAACATTTTTTTCCTGGTTAGCGTTTGTC